CTCAGTTGCAGTTTGTCCCTGGCTCCGGTTGGGGTTGTGTGGGTGGCAGCCAGTCAATGTGTCTCTCTCACATCAATATTTCTCTCTCCCTCCCACTCTATCTGAAGATAAATGCAAAAATATCCTTGGGTAAGGATAAAAAAATTTTTTTTTAAATCCTCCTTTTAAAATATGTATTGTTGCATTTTATCCCTATTAAAGACTTTGGTCTTCCACCTGTCCAATAATGGTAACCTATATCAGTTTTCCTTTTCCATTCTGAGCAATCTTATTTTTGGTAAATCTATAAAGAGCACATAAATTATTTTGTTTTTCATTCAGATTGCTGTCTCGGTGTCTTTTAATAAAGATCAATCCATTTATACCTACTGTGAACTACACATATATTTGGAGTTATTTCTACTTCTACTTATCATCCCTTTCCTTTGCTTTATTTATTTTACTTTTTTAAGCTTTCCTGTCTTTTACTGAACTGATCAAGTTTTCAATATTCTCTTTTCCCCCTTTTCTACTAGTTTGGAAGCTGTAAACTGTATTTCTATTATTTTCATTACTTTTAGTTTAGTTTTTAATCATATATATTTAATTTTACATTGTCTGAAAGAGTATGAAATTAGTTTATATTTCTATCTCCTCCTGAAAAAGACAGAGAACTTACCACGTTATACCTTCCCACAGAAAAAAACTCTCTCCCCTACATGCCCAGCTTGTGTGGCTCAGTGGATTAAGCATCATTCCATGGACAGAGAGGTCCCGGTTCAATTCCCAGTCAGGACACATGCCAGAGTTGCACACTTGATCCCCAGTAGGGGGTGTACAGGAGGCAGCCGATTGATGCTTCTCTCTCACATCAATATTTCTCTCTCTCTCTCCAAAAAAAAAAAACAATGAAAACATATTTAAAAATACAAACAAACAAAAAACTCCCCTATACATATAAACTATTTTCTGTTACTCTCTAGAACTACATTGTCCAGTTGGGTAGCCAATAGCCACAAGTGGCTTTTGAGTCCTTGATATGTGGCCAGTCTGAAGTGAGATGTACTCTGGACTTGGAGGATTTAGCATGAAAAAATATAAGTAAAATGTTACAATAAATTTTTTTTTTTATCCTCACCGGAGGACATTTTTCCATTTTTTGTTCAGGTAGAGTGGGAGGGAGAGAGAGGAAGAGAGAGAGAGAGAGAAACATCGACGTGAAAAGAACACATCGAGTGGCTGCCACCCGCACAACCGACCAGGGCCGGGGACAAACTGCAACCGAGGTACGCGCCCTTAGCGGGAACCGAACCCAGGTCTCTCAGGACCGCAGGCCGACGCTCTAACCGCTGAGCCAAACCGGCCAGGGCTTTGCATTTTTTGTTCAGATAGAGTGGAAGGGGGGGAGAGAGAGAGAGAGAGAGAGAGAGAGACAGACAGACAGACAGACAGACAGACATGAAAGGAATACATTGAGTGGTTGCCACCCGCACGACCCAACCAGGGCCAGGGACAAACTGCAAACAAGGTACGTGCCCTTAGCTGGAACCAAACCCGGGTCTCTCTGGACCGCAGGCCGATGCTCTTACCACTGGGCCAAACTGGCCAGGGTTACAATAAATTTTATACTGATTACATGCCGAAATAATATTTTAGCCCTGGCCTATTTGGCTCAGCAGCAGAGCATCAGCCCGTGGACCAATGAGTCATGGGTTCAATTCCGGTCAAGGGCATATATTTTGGTTGCGGTTTGTCCCTGGCCCTGGTCAGGGTCGTGTGGGGAGCAACCAGTCGGTGTCCTTCTCACATCGATGTTTCTTTCTCTCCCTCCCTCCCTCCATCCCTCCATCCTACTCTATCTGAAGATAAATAGAAAAATATCCTCAGGTGAGGATAAAAAAATAATAATATTTTGGACATACTGGGTTAAATAAAATTTAGTATTAAAATTTAATTTCAAATGTTTCTTTTTTAATTAACTAGAACATTTAAAATCACATATGTGGCCAGAATTACAATTTTAATGGATAGTGCTAATCCAGAATTTTAATTTTGTTTTAAATGCACTCCCTAAAAATACCTTAAATGATTATATTTCTGCTATTAATAATTAATAACATTTATCATTTCACCTGATTAAAATTCTTCATTCTAAAATAACAGTTTAGTCTGGCCAGTGTGGCTCAGTGGTTGAGCACCGACCCATCCATCCATCAATTCCTGGTCAGGGCTCATGTCCAGGTTGTGGGCCTGATCCTCAGTGGGGGGCATGCAAGAGATGGCCAGTCGATGTTCTCTCTTATCAATGTTTCTCTCTCTCTCTCCCCCTCTCTTCCCCTCTCTCTCTAATATCAATAAAGAAAAAAATACAAATAAAATAAAATAACAGTTTACATGGATATGACATGATATTGCTTTAGTATTTAAGATATAATTCCATTTTCTCCTAGCATCAACTGTTGCTGACGAGAAACCTTCTGTTAGTTTAATTATCATACCTCTTTTGGTCATCTGGCTTCTAACTTTGGTGGCTGTTAAGATTTTCTCTTTATCCTTGATATTCTAGTTTTACTACAACCTGTCTAGATGTGGATTTTCTTTCTTTAACCTACTTGACATTCTAGATTCTACTCTTGATGGAAGGACTCAGGTCCTTCTTCAATGCTAAGAATTCTCAGCCTCTGTGTCCCTGTCTTCAAAAATCAATTCTCCACCAATCTCTGAATCTTCTTTTTTTAAAATTCTTATATATGTTGGCGTTTCTCAATTAATTTTCTATGTCTTTTAACTATTCTTTCATATTTATATCATTTTTCTGGGTCCTGCATGAATTTTTTTGTATTATTTTCCAACCCATTAATTCTATCATCAATGGTGTAATGGGTAAATTTATCTCATCTGCTGAGTTTATGGGTTTTTTTGGTATGTGCCCCTAGAGGGAACTGAACCCAGGACTCTCTGGTCCACAGGCCAACGCTCCAACCGCTGAGCCAAACCAGCCAGGGCCCATCGGCTGAGTTTTTTATATACCAAATACAAAGAATTCTAGTTGGTTCATTTCTACATTAACTGTTCTTGTTTCATCTCTTTTGTTTCAAAGTTTTTTTTTAGCTCTCTTTAAATGAAAAGTACCCCATAACTTATTTCTTTGAGCTTTCTAAAAATGCTTTAAAAGTTTCTTCTAATAAATGGAATACTATGCAGCCGTTAAAAAGAATAATATCATCCCATAGACACTAACATGGAATGATTTCTAAATATGTTATGAAGTGAAAAAGCCAAGGTACATAATAGCATGTGTAGAATGCTACCATTTATATAAAAGTGTATGTATGTGTGTGAATATGCTTGTATATGCACAAACTATCTCAGAAAAGATAGCAAAAAATGGAATAGTGGTTGCCTCTGGGGAGGGGAACTGGGTGGCTAGGGGACAGAGGTGGGAGATAGACTTACTTTTCACTGTTTACCCTTTTGTACTTTTGAATTTTGTACCACGTGCATGTATTACCTAGTCAAAAAAAATAAATAATTTATTTTAAAAAATAAATAGTCTTTGTTGGACTACTCCATAAAATTAATTTCATCCAGAGAAAAATCCTGTTCTAGTCACTTTTTTTTTTATATTAATATTAGATGTCTTCATGAGTTTTGGGATTTGGGTTGAAGGCTCATTTTGAGTAGGAAAGGTTGTTTTCTCCCTTTCTGTCTGTCTCTTCCTATTTAGTGGTTTTATAGTTGCCCCTACTTGTATTTCTGGACCCCTAATCCACAACTAGACTTTATAATGACATTCAGGCCTCCAGTTTCATGATGCTATTGGAGCTATCACATATGTACATTCGATGACTGACTCGGTAATGACTTCATCAATTCTTAGTCATGAGTCTGTCTTTATCACTATAACGTAAGCCCTGGGTAGTTAATAGCTTTTTCCTTTATCAGCCGTTCACAAATGATACATTGCAACCAAACCCCTGGTTTCATGTAGTAGTTCTGGTTTCTGCCTCACATGAGGCATTTTAGCACTTTTGGTTCCTGACAGGAGCCAAACAACTGCATGTCAGTGCCAGACAAACCCAGTGGTCTTGTGGTTTAAACCATGCTAGCAGCTTTGTGTCAATGTTCACTTTCTGGCCCACAAAGATGTTTGTCATTGTTTCACAGCCTGGGTATATCTTTTGTGCTATTTAATCTTTTGTTCTATGTGTTTAGAGCATAGGGGTTATATTAAAACTCAGTATGTCATCTTGACTAGAAGTAATTTCCACATTTCTTTTTTTAAATTAAAAGTAATCATTATAAAAATAATATAATCTCTTTACATAAAGTTTAGAAAATAGAAAATCATTCATAATCTACACATTCTAACTCATCCACTGTTAGCATTTTTAAATATTTCCTTCTAATCTTTTTTTTCATCACATCATATTTGTACAATTTTTATCATGATTTTAGCCTATATTATCCCAAGCTTTTGTCTATGTTGATATGTAGTCTTTATGACCATCATTTTAATGACTGCATATTAATCCACCAAGCTGTTCAACTGTAATCTACTTCCCACATTATTGAGAATTTAAGGAGTTTCCAACAATGCTATAAAGAAGTGCATATATAAAGAAGTGCACATGTGCTTTTTCCTCTCAATAGTTTGCATTTTGGGGGTGGTGGTGAGACATGCTAAATAATAGGACTGCCATAATTCTACATGGATCATTAGCCTAAAGGCATTACAGTACTATTATAATACTGGCTAAGGTTCATAATAATAATCCTAATATATGAAGAGAAAAAGAAATCATGTGAAAGTGAAAAATGCGTTTCAGAAAGATTCAAACCAAAATAATTAACAGCAAGTACTATAATTAAAGGGATAAGTTTCACAAAGGGTAAGATTCACAATTCACAAATGTGTATCTCTAGCACTGCTGGACAAGGCATTACACATTTTCATGAACTTCCAAAACAGAATATTTTGGGTCACACTAACAAAGTTCACTTTTAACTATAATACTAACCTGATATTATTTACACAGTCTTCATGAGCTTCAGAGAGTGTTTTTATGTGCTTTGATGATATGGGGTCAAAAAGCAGAACTTCAGTCTGTTCACAAGCAACTGTCAGCACTGACCTGAAAGATAATGACACATTTCTCTTATTTAGTTTTCTAGCATTCTCTGGTTATTGATATTCATTTATTTATAATTACACAAACTATAAGTGAATTACTTCTTTTTGCCCATGTTAGTAGCAAATATTTAAAAATATTGACACTATCCACTATTGGCACTAAGAAATGGTACTCTCATGCATTATGGTGGAGTATAAACTGGTACAGTTTATGTTTAGAGAGTACCAGTATCTATCAAAACTTTAAATGTGCATACTTTTTTTTTTATCCTCACCCGAGGACATTTTTACATTTATCTTCAGATAGAGTAGGAGGGAGAGAGGGAGGAAAAGAGAGAGAAACATCGATGTGAGAGAGACATATCAACTGATTGCCACCCACACAACCCCAACCAGGGCCTGGGACAAACTGCAACCGAGATAAGAGCCCTTAGCGGAAACCGAACCCAGGTCTTTCTGGTCTGTGGGCCGATGCTCTAACCGCTGAACTAAACCAGCCAGGGCAAGTGTACATACCTTTTGACTTAGCAATTTTTCTGGGTATTTAATCTAAAGACATAATCATTCATAAATACAAATATTGTAAGGAGAAACTGAAAGAAACCTAAATGTATATGAAGAAGGAATGATTTTGAAAAGGGATAGCTTTATATAGATATGATATGAAAGAACTTCAAAACATATATATATATATTTTTTTTTTATCCTCACCCGAGGACATTTTTCCATTTTTTGTACAGAGAGAGTGGGAGGGAGAGAGAGGAAGAGAGAGAGAGGGAAACATCGATGTGAAAGGGACACATCGAGTGGCTGCCACCCGCACGACCCAACCAGGGCCGGGGACAAACTGCAACCGAGGTACGTGCCCTTAGCGGGAACCGAACCCGGGTCTCTCCGGACCGCAGGCAGACGCTCCAACCGCTGAGCCAAACCGGCCAGGGCCAAAACATATTTTTAAATGAGAAAAGCTGGTAGCAGAAGAACATGCATAGATGAGGCAACTTAGAGGAATAATCTCATACAACAAAATTATGTTTTTCTTTATCAGTATCTATTAAAATGCACTGAAAAAGATCTGGTATATATCCTATCAGTTAGATATAGTCAAGCAATATTTTCCTCATGGTTTTTTATTATTGTCTCTAGTTTCAACCCTTCCCTATTACAAAGTTATATTTTTATAAACCTTTTACAAGTCCCATTTTAATTTCTGAAAATCCACTGTCTTTTACTGATTTTGATTAAGTCTAGTTTTCTGTAGGCACTGCTCTTTCAGATTCAGATCTAGCAAATGAAATCCGGAGTCTTTGAAACTGCAGGTCTTCCCAATTTATAGCCAATAACAAGTGGAATTTGTAAACTTAAGCTGAAAATGTACAAGACAATTTCAAATAGTTGAACTTTTGTATTCAGAAAAAAACTTTTTAGATAAACTAGAAGAGAAAAAAAGTCTACTAAACTGAAACCTTTTCTATATTTAGTAATCATAAAATTATCCTTCAAAGGGTGTCTGCATAAACACCTTTTTTTTTTTAGATAAGTGGACTTCTAAATTTAGTATATCTGAAGGACTTCTGTGTCAACCACTGAGCCACATCAAGAGTAAAAAATATTCAAATTAATATCTACAATTTTAAAAGATATATAAATAGCCATTTCTTTATGTTAGAAGAGTCATGGATGAACTTTTCTCCTTTTGTGCATAAAAGAAAAAAAATCATTTGTGAATCAGTGATTCTGAGTCTTAACCTTAAAGATTGTAAATAAGAGATGTATAAAACAGTTTTTGCTTTAATCCAATTATGATCTATTTCTGTATGTGGCATGACATGTAACTTTTTTTTCCGCCTTTTTATTGATTTTAGAGAAAGAGGAAAAGAAAGGGAGAGATAGAAACATCAATGAGGGTACATCAATTGTCCGCCTCCTGCATGCTCCCCACTGGGGATTGGGCCCACAACCTGAGCATGTGCCCTGACTGGGAATCGAACTGGCGACCTCTTGGTGCATGGGTTGACGCTCAACCACTGAGCCACATCAGCCGGACTTGACTTGTAACTTTTAAAGTGTGTATTATTTGTCCCAATATCAAAGCATAGACTTTTCTCATTGGTTTGAAATGTCATCTTTATCATATGTATAAGTTTTGTTTTTGTACTTATATTCTATGGAACACTACCACACTATTTTAATTTCTAAAAGTGTATTTGATATGTGGCAAGGCAAGATACCCTCATTGCTTTATAAACATTTTTCGGGAGGCTAATATTATGCTCTCTTCCAAGTGAATTTTAGGTATAGCATGCCAGGTCCTAGTAAAACATCTTATTGATATTTTTTGTTGTTGTTGTTAACATCCTCACCTGAAGATATTTTTACTACTGATGTTTTAGATAGAGTGGAAGGGAGGGAAGGACGACGGGGTGGGGGGGGAGAGAGAGAGAGAGAGAGAGAGAGAGAGAGAGAGAGAGAGAGAAAGAAACATCAATGTGAAAAAGACATGTCTATTAGTTGCCTCCTGCACAACCCTGACTGGGGCTGGGGATCAAACTTGCAACCCTTTGGTCCACGGGTAGATGCTCTAACTGCTGAACCAAACTGGCCAGGGCTTATTGGTATTTTTATTGGGTTGCCCTGACTTTAAAAATTAACTCAGTAAAATTTATATCATACAGTATTGTATCATTTCATCAGTAATATGCATACTTTTCCACATATTCAAGATTTTCTTAGCAAGAATATCTTAGCAATTTTTGGACTTTGAACGTCCTTATACATTTAGAATCAACTTATCAAGTCATGCATACACACACACACACAAATCCAGATGGTTTTAATTGGAGTTGTTATAACTCTATAAGTAAGTTAGCCTAGAATTGACATTTTTATAACATGGAGACTTCCAATCCATGAAGATGGTATATTTCTACTTACCATGGAGATTTTCCATATGGGCCATGCCTGTCTTTTGTTAGATTTATTCCTGGGTACTTGACATTTTTTTTAATGCTTTAAAAAATGTTCTTTTTAAAATTGTGCTTTGTTTGTTGCTGGTGTACAAAAATGCAACTGATTATTAAAATATGTACCTATCAATATTGCTATTTTAATACTTTATCTGTAGGCATTTTAGTTTTTCTTTGTCAACAATCACATCATCTACAAACAAGTGCCTTTTTCTTTTTTAATACTTTTTTCCTTGTGGCACTGGCTAGGACTTTCAGTACAATGTTGAATAGAAATGTTAAGATAGCAGGCACTCTTGTCTTATTTCTGATCTTCAAGAATATATTCTCCATTTAATCATTAAAAACATTTGCTGTTGCCCGGGTGTGGCTTGGTGGATTGAGCATCATTCCGTGGACTGAGAGGTCCTGGTTCCATTCCTAGTCAGAGCACATGCCCAGGTGTGGGCTTTTGGTGGGGGGCATGTGGGAGGCGGCTGATTGACCTTTCTCTCTCACATCGATGTTTCTCTCTTTCTCCTTTCCTCTCTCTCTAGTAAATCAATAAAAACATATTTTTTTAAAAAAAGAACGTTTGCGCCCTGGCCAGTTTGGCTCAGCGGTTGGAGCGTTGGCCTGCGGTCCGGAGAGACCCGGGTTCGGTTCCCGCTGGGGGCATGTACCTCGGTTGCAGTTTGTCCCCGGCCCTGGTTGGTCGTGCGGGTGGCAGCCACTCGATGTGTCCCTTTCACATCGATGTTTCTCTCTCTCTCTCCCCCTCCCACTCTATCTGTACAAAAAATGGAAAAATGTCCTTGGGTGAGGATAAAAAAAAAAGAACGTTTGCTGTAGAGTTTTTTTATTGTTGTTGCTACCAAATTCCTATTATTTGATTAAGGAAGTTCACTTCTACAACAAATTTATTAAGCTTCTTTTTTCATTAATATATGTTAAATTGTATGAAACACTTTCTAATAATAATTGAAATTACCTTATATTTTTCCTTAAGATGTGAATGTAGTGATTTAAATTAATTTGTTTTATAATGTCAAATCAACTTTTCCTTTTTACCATATTGCTAGATTCATTTGGCTAAAATGGTGAGCTCACATCTCCATCTTCCCTCTTTTTGAAGATCTTGGCCCTGCAATTTCCTCAGTCTCAATTTTCCAAAGCCTTCCAAATAAGGTTTTTATATATTACATTAAATATTTTACATTTTCTCTACTTTTGAAAATTATTCTCAGAAGGTTGGTCCAAACCACCTACTTTGATACTTCTGGAAAGCTACAATCTCTACCTCTTATGTCTGAAATTATGCCCCTCTTTTAATTCTTTTTTTTAAAGTATTTTTCTTATTGATTTTAGAGAGAGAGGAAGGGAGAGGGAAAGATAGAAACATCAATGAGAGAAAACATCCAGCTACCTCCTGCACGCTCCCCCAATTGGGGATCAGCTGGCAACCTGGGCATGTGCCCTGACAGGGAGTAAAACCGGTGATCTCTTGGTGTATAGGTTGATGCTCAACCACTGAGCCATACCAGCTGGGCCCCCTTTTCATTCTTAATATTGCTTATTTGGGCGGTCTCTTGATCAATGAGTGTTTTCCATTTTATTTATCTTTTCAAAGACAAATTTTTCTCTCAGTGGGTATTACTATTGAATTTTAAAATTTCATTAATTTGCCCTTGCTGAGTAGTTCAGTTGGTTAGAGTGTCATCCCATATGCCAAGGTTGCAGGTTCAATCTTGGGTCAGGACACATACAAGAATCAACTAATGAATGCACTGTGAACAACAAAACTATATTTCTCTCTCTCTCTCTCAAAAAACTAAAAATAAAATTTCACTAATTCTACTTTTTGTTACTGAATTTCCTTCCTTCTCTTTTCTTCAGATTTACTTTGCTATTTGGCAGATGATAATTATTTTTCTTGAGATGGATACTTAGTGCATTAATTTTCCCTGTCTTCCTTTCTAGTTTATTAAAGGCTATACTTTTCCTATGAAGTACTGTTTTATTTATAAATATTCCCACAAGTTTTGAGACATGTGGT